AGATGTAGTCTAATGTCAAGAACTTTCCATTCATTGTTCCTTGTCCACCCCCCCGCAATCATGTATGTGATGAGTGATCTGGCAGTGAGGCAACCAAGGCCACAGGGCTCTATCCACACATTTTAATTGGCTTATGTTTAAGGGAAAACACAGAATAGCTGAACTTGGAAGAGATCTGTGGAGTACACCTTAACCCCCTCCCTGCACAAGCAGGGTCATCTCTAGCAAGTAGCCCTGCAGTAGGTCCAGACTATAATTTTTCTAAGGAAGGAGACTCTACAACCCCTCTGGGTAACCTGCTTCAGTGCTTGGTCACCCTCATGGTGAAAAATTGTTTCCTTGTGTTCAGAGGGAACCTGCTGTGTTTCAGTTTGTGCTCTTCACCTCTGTGCCTGTCACTGAGAAACAGTGAAAAGAGCCTGGTTCTGTCTTCTTCACTTCCTCCCTTCAACTATTTGTGCTCATTGATGAGATTGCTAGAAACCTTCTCCTCCCCAGGTTGAGCAGTCCCATCTCTGTCAGTCTCTCCTCCTGTGGGAAATACTCCATCCCCTTTATCATCTTTACGGCCCTCTGCTGGATTCTCTCCAACATGTTAATGTCTCTAGTGTACTGGGGAGCTCAAAACTCAACATAGACTCCAAGTGTACCCTTACCAAAGCTGAGTAGAAGCCAAAGATCATCCTCCTTGCTGCAGAATTCCCCGAGGTGTCCAGGACCTAGAGTTCCTAAAGGCTGGTCTTGCTAGTAAAGACTGATGTGAAGAACTTGTCCTGTGTCACCCAGCAGTCGACCCACATTTTCTCCAGTCTTCCTTGAGCCGCTGAGAGAAAACTTAGAGAAACCCTTCTCGCTTTTGACATCCTGTGCCAGATGTGATTCCAGGTAGACTTTGGCTTTCCTAGCCATGTGTCTACATGTTTGGACAATGCCTCTATGTTCCTCTCAGTCTACCTGTCCCTGCTTCTGCCTCCATACCCTTCCTTTCTGTGCTAGGAGCTCTGTTCAAACATGCAGGCCTGTTGGCATTTTTTGCCTGAATTTGTGCTTTGTTGGGATGGACTGCTTTTGCACCTGGAAGAGGTAATCCTTGCACATGAACTAGCTTTTTTGAGTCACTCTTCACTCCAGGGCATTATCCTGCGGGGCTCCTCCAGATCACCCAGGTGGTCACGTCTGCTGTCCTGGTGTTCAGTGTTGTGAGCTTGCCTTTTGCTCTGGCCACTGCACTCTGGATCTTGAACTCCACCATGTCATGGTCACTGTAGCAAAGGCTACCTTCAGCCCTCACATCACCAGTGAGCCCTTCCTTGTTTGTGAGCATCAGGCCCAGGGGGGCACATCCCCTCATTGCCTCCTTTATTGCTTGGGTCAGGAAGTAGTTCCCAGTCCTTTCCAGGGACTTCCTGGAACCCTTATGCCCTCCTCCAGTACAGTAGGCTGGTTGTAATCCCCCATGAAGATCAGTGCCTCTGAATGGGAGGCTAATTCCAGCTTGTCAGCTCTGAGCTCCATCCAGTTTTTCACAGGTAAACATCAGAAGCCATCGGAGATGCACTGGTGTAGCCAAGACATCAGTCTACTCTGGTCTAGCACATAGGACGTGAGCATATTGCTGAAATTTGTTTCATTGGTGGAACAGCTGCAGTGAAGTTTTGTTTCTTCAGTTTACTCAGCTCTAGTGGAGTGCTTATTAACGAGCCTATGTGGCTGCTTCACTCTGCTTAAATTAAATAAAGGACAAGGGAATATTTGGCCTGGAGATGTTTGAAAGAAGAGGTGTAAATGGCTGTATCAAAATCACTTCATAAACAGGCTAGATTCCTTCTTAAATGTGGTTAGGCTTTTTGGATTTTTTTTTGTTTTGTTTTTTGGAGTTTTTTTGGTTTTATTTGTTTTGTTGGTTTTTGGTTTTGGGTTTTTTTTGTCTACTGCTAGTATTTGAAGTTTTTCTCAGAAGCCTGCTACTTTACTTGGTGGAAGTAGTCTTCTTGTTTAAACCTGTAATTTACTGTAAAGTCACCTCCTCTCATGCTGTCATTACTCTTGAACCTAAATAAAAAATTCTTCATTGAGTGACTCTTACAGTTCTGGGATTGCACTCAAAAATAGCTGTGGCCTCAGTGAGTAAGAGATCTCTTAGGTAGCAAGGAATCAGCTCACGAGACAAAAGGCATGGAGTCATGGGCAGTGCTGGGGGAGAGACCAGTAACCTACTTTTGCATATGGTTCAGATGTGTAATGCCAAGCATAGTGCATGGACAGTGAAATTAGATTTTGTGAGGCAGTTAAGAAGAGGTGTAAGTATTTGATCACTAGTGTTTGTTACACATACCTGTTGCAGAGTGTTGTCCCTATAGCAGTGTACTGCATCAGTGATATAAGCAGATAACATTGTTATCCATTAGCTGACACCGTATTCCTGTCCAGAGGCTTGTGTTCTTGCTCTGCGTGTTGGTTGGTTTTTACAAGCAGGTTTTGAATGTTTATGGTTACTTGGAGTGTTTGCCCATAACATGGATGAAATCTTGCATGGCCTTTTAAGCAGTAGAGGTGCTCTTACTTACACAGACTGCCCTTCTTTACTGAGGTGGTGCTGCACCATTTTGTTCCATTGCATAAAGCCTGTAGCACTGCACTTGTGCTTACTGCCTTTGGCTAATTCATCTACAGTGTGTCATCTCTGCAGACCTCACCCCTGCACCCCAGGCTCATCATCAACTTGCCAGTAGACTTTGAAGAACTCTGTAAAAATAAATGTTTAACACAACATGTTTATTTTAAAATTAATTGTATTTACTAAATACCAGACAAATTCTTCGTTTACAGCTTTGCTAGCTTTCCATATGATTTGCAATTGGGCTAAAGGTGAATTTACCTGAAATATTTTTGCACTGTCCTTGTAGGGTAAATATGGTTTTGTACTTCAGGGGTAAAGTCTGTACCCACTACAGATTTCCCTTTAGCATCACATATGTGGCAGACATTACCATTACCTGTTCATTTTCATTATTGTGACTAGCAGCAAGGTGTCCTACTTGATATCAGGCTGTAATACTGAATGAAAGAAAATAACCATTCTGTGAGGTCTGCCTTGACAAGTGGAATGAATGTGTCATTGGTTTTAAGCTCAACAAAAGCTCAAGAAGGAGTTTGATGCAAGAAAAAACAGATGAGATAAAATTACTTTTTAAAAAGCTAAAGACAGTCACATTAAGTTCAGCATTCTCGAACTTGAAATAAATAAAGATCCCTGAAATTTTGGTTGAATGACTTTGCAGTGTGTTGGATGAGAACTTCCCATTCATACTACCCGTAATTTCAGTACAAATGCATTTGCCAAGAAGTCTGAATATGATATCCTACATCTGTGGCTGTTAAGAGAGCTTAAAATTGAGTGAAAGGTGTATAGATTATGAAGTGGATAAAATCTTACATACTCTTTCTTGTCCATACAAACATATGAATGTATCTTTCTGTATGGGAATAATTTGATTTTCTGCTGGATAAAGGCCTGAAGGCAAAGGCAGCTGCACTTTCTTAACCATCATCCATCACATGAAAAATTACAGTCTCTTTTCCCCCTTTCCAAATGGCAATGTATCACACACTGAATGTTGTCATTTTTTGAGTGCTGGAAAGAAACAGAGTTCCCCTATCTAATAGCTTTCATTCAGAGTTATTGCAGTCCCCTTTATGGTCTGGCCTGTTCTAGGACTTAGCACTTTTATCTGTGTACATGTGGAGGTTGCTCTGTGCATCCAAAAAGAATTTTGACAGAGAGGATGAAGTAATACAAGAGGCATTAACTGAAGGGACTCCACAGATGTTATTGGCTGTTATTTCTGGACTGTGCCTGTAGCCCCAAAGGGAATTGAACACACATTAATCTGACTTCATATAACACCTCTATACAATATTCTTCTCTTACTTGCTTTGCTTTTTTTAGGTAATTTTTTGCTATCCTCAAGCCACTGGAATATTCTGGTTACAATAACTGCTAGAATAGTTCTGCTCTCAAGGGTGTCCCTTATGTCTTTTGACATCAAATATGTATCTGGGGTCTATCTGAAAGTTTCCCATTCCCTGGGTATGGAAATGCCCTTTATTGTGAATTTAATGAACCAAATATCAGCTGCAAATGAACTTTCACCTTAGCTTGTTAGTTCATAAAATCTAAAAGAGCTGCATCTAATTTATATAGAAAATCAGCTTTAGAAAACGTACATAAAAGTTGTAAAAGCTGTATCCTAGCACTTCTATATAAGGTCCAAGCACCTCCTATTAGGCATCTTTGCCAAACCTAGAATGTGCCGTACTCCCATATTGTTAATAAATTACTTTTTCATTTTTCATTTTCTTTCCCTGTAGGATGGATTTCCATCCTTGTTTCAGCTTGTTGCATATACATGTTCGTGTGCATTTGCAGATTAAATTTGACTAATTAACATACTTTTATCCATTATTGGGAAGTTTTCAGACCTACAGGAAGAAAATAGGACTGCCAGTCTTAGTGTCTGCTCTTAGTTTTAATGCAAAATCAGCAATGGTAGTGTATATTACTTTAAGCAATGAAAGTTTTGTAGGCAGCATAAAAAATCCAGTTTTGTGGCTGTGTAGGGTGAGGGGAAGGAGGCGTTGGTAACTGTTTGATATTTCGAGACAAATTGCTTGGCTGGGCTCCTTGGCTTCTCCAATTTAAAAGCTCTTTGAGTGAATAAGAAGACAATTATTTGAGGTGGCCAAAGCTGTCTCAGGACTGCTTGTCTTTCATCTGCTGGTGAATCAATTTAAGCCCTTACATACAGAATAAAATAAACTGTTTTGAAATTGCAGCTTGGACAAAATATGCTCCATAAAGAACCAAAACCAGTAGTAGCTCTATGCAATAACTTCTCCCAGCAGTAGGAGCACAAGTTAAATGTAAATAAGATTACAGTGTTTCTGAAATTTGAATTAATTATTTTCCTGCTTTTGCCTCTCTATTTTCCTCCTTTTAGCCTGTGCCCCTGGTTTCTTTAAAGTATCTGTGGGAGATGACCCCTGCCATCTGTGCCCTGCCCACAGCCACGCTCCACTGCCGGGTTCCCGGGAATGTGTGTGTCAGAACCGGTACTATCGATCTGCTTCAGACAATTCTGATGCTCCCTGTACTGGTAAGTGTTTGGATGAAGTGTTTGAAAGCAAGAAGGGCAGTTAATGAGAGAGAATGTGTCCAAATGATTTGGGGAGAGTTGCAATTCCCCTCTTCTCAAGACCTTTGAAATAACCCAAAACTTCTCTTTGCTCCTGCACCTGACTAGAGTGATGGTGAGAATGAGGATTCTTGGGTTTCATTACAACCTTCAGAGGGAAATGTTCTGTAAATAATGTTTTCCTTACCCCTCCCTGATACTGAGCTCAGCCTCTCTGTCCCTCCCTTCCCCATTTTGTGTCTGTGCCCAGGCTTGGCAGTGCAATTCTGCTGCCTACTTCTATGTTTCTGAACTTTTCCCTTCTTAGCTGCAGTGTCTTGTCCCATTCTCATGCCCATGGCTTCTTCTCACCCTCTGCATTTTCCTCCTCTTCACCATCTCTGTGCCATCAAGGGAAGTGTTGGATGCACAGAATGGGCAGTTTTTCAGCCGTCAGAGTTTACCTCTGATGCCATTGAGGAATGTGGCTGGCACCAGGAATAATTGTAGGCAAAATTGATGTCCAGTTCCTGGAACAGATGCAGCAGGTTAACTAAAGTCTGAGAAAGTTCAGAGATACTAGGTGCCAAGGAGAGAATTACAGGTCTCAGTAGAGATAAATCTTTACTAAGCTTGTGTAAAGTTTAAAATTTCAAGGGATTGGCACTTCCCTAAACAATGGCTGTTCTTTTAGGGAAATTAAAAAGCCACACCCTTGAAACAAAGACTTTTCTTTGTAATTTTGTTTGTCAAAAATGTGCTAATACAGTTGTTCCTTTGTTAATGTGTGTGCTTGATGTAGCAAAGAGTATGTTTATCTTACCTTCGCCCTAAGAAACAACTGAAGAAGAGTAAGAATGAGACGAAGAAGCAACTTGTTCTTCTGTTCTTTTCCCTTTGCTTTGCATCTTCCCTTCCCTCACCTCTCTCCCATTCTTTCCTGGGATTTTGATCCTTCGTTCTTCTTTCTAGGCATCCCTTCTGCTCCTCGTGACCTCAGCTACGAAATCATTGGCTCCAACGTGCTGCTGACCTGGCGCCTCCCGAAGGACCTGGGCGGCCGCAAGGACGTTTTCTTCAACGTGATCTGCAAGGTGTGCCCGGCGGGGTCGGTGGGGCCGTGCGTGCGCTGTGGGGACAGCGTGCAGTTCGAGCCGCGCCAGGTGGGGCTGACCGAGAGCCGCGTGCAGGTCTCCAACCTCCTGGCCCGTGTGCACTACACCTTCGAGATCCAGGCCGTCAACTTGGTCACTGAGCTGAGTTCAGAAGCACCCCACTTTGCCACCATCAATGTTAGCACCAGCCAGTCAGGTGAGGACACCCCTGTCTTGAAGTTTCTACTTTTCTCTCTCTCAATTGATTTGCTTTTATCTTTTGAATGCTGGAGTTTTGTCTTTTTACTTGTGTCATGTGCCTTTTCTATCCTGCTCTGCTAATTCCACAGTTTCACTTTTGCTCTTCTCATTTCTGCCTCATCTAAATGGGCTTTCCATTCTTGCTTCTTGGCAGAAAAACTCAACTTTAGCAGCTGATGTGATTGTTGGGGAACAATCTGCCCTGGAGAAATTCCAACGAGATGTGGTGCTGTGGGTCAGATGAAGCACATTGTTTTATTGTGCAAGAGAGGGGACACTACCAGGGTTTGATGAGGATTTCGTCATCAGTTTGCCAGAGAAGCTAATAATTTTCTCTATCCTCTTCTCCATGTCATCATCTTATTTTTCCTCTTAATAAGAAACTTTTTTTTTTTTTTGCTCTTTACATGGTAGAAATATTAAAATGTATTGTGCAGTTATATTCAAAAATGTCGTGATCCTTGTAACTAGGAACTAAACTGTGGGGATGACTAAACTAACATACTAATGGGTTATGTGGGCAGTCAGAGGAGTTCTGTTTCCTGTAAATATAATTTACAAAGACTGGAGCTGGAGAGAGACACATACATCCAGGCATAGAGTTCTGCTAAATGTCAGCATTAAGAGACTGTGCATATGTTGTTCTTCACAAGCATGTATAAGCTAATATGGAGAGGAATTATACACAGCTTGTTTAAGAGGATATAATAAGGAGTAATGTGATGAAGAGGAGAAGGAGGGGGAGCATTTTTAACTGAGTGACAGAAAATGTCTTCAAACATTAAGAGTTGTGTGAATGTTAAACTGAAACAAATCCTGCATGAGATTCTAGAGTGTAGTGTGGAAACCCCTGCAAAACAAGGTTTTAGTAGAGCTCCAGAGAAGTGCTGTGAAACTAGATGTGGTATCATGGGCTTGGTTAAATCACATCTTACCATATCTGTTTCTATTATATGGAAAGAAAGGGAATATATATATACCCCCAACTAATTTCCTGCTGTTAATAGATGCCAGGTTTGATCTGTTTATTCCCTTTTAAATGTTACCTGACAGACATCAAGTAGCAAAGCACCTCTAGAATCCCTGGTCCCCTTAAGAGGCTGGCTGCAAGTGGATGATCAGTTTTTGTTTACAGTAAAATGTGGCTGGGTAATTTGTATGGTAATTCCAGGCAGTTCCTTTGGCTTCTCCTGGAGAAAGGTCGTTGTTCTATTAACATCCTACAGAGTTCTCTTTCTTCATGCTTCTCATCTCAACCTTCTTTATCTGTATCAGAGATAACTTAATTGAGCAGCTGCTTCCTCCTCCTTCCCGGAATCACCCAATCTACCCTCTCCTTCTGTTTCTGGTTGAATTTTCTGACCACTCCTCTTCCAGGTGTCTCATAGTGTCTCTGGCTGTCTTGGGTATCTTGGGTACTCCTCTCTAAGGTGCATCTCTCGTCCAGTAAAGCCGTTTCGGGGGAGAACAACTTCCTTAAACATCAGGGTGTACTGAGTGGCCTTTTTTGTGTTTGGTCGCAGTTTTTTCTTTCCTTGCTTTTCCTTGGGATCGTTAGGAGTGAGCTTGAGATGAGCTGCCCTTGATTTGTACTGACAGCTCATACTAACAAGGCCCTGCTTTCTCCATCACGTGGCCTGTCTCATCCATACCCCCCCCTTTTGATCCCTTCAACAGCTTTTCACTTCAGCATTGCTTGTGGATGTTGTGTTATTGTAACAATTATTAGTATTTCTGTTATTATACAAGCAGAGATAGAACTTTCAGGATTTTACATGCTGAGAGAAAAAGGGTACAGGAAAACATGAAGGGTACCAAAAAAAAAAAAAAAAGAAGCAAACCAGAAAAAGGTTACAGTGTCAGGATAAAGGGCCGTAGCAAAAATTTACTCCCCACTGAATTAAAGGTGACCCAAAAAAAGACCCTCCAGTCCTGGCAGTTTCTGAAGATTCTGCTTACTCATACATCACTCTGAGTTCTCTCCTTCTAAATTGCTGGTCCAAAAAATACTCCTGCCCCTTTGTTAGAGTTATCTTAGGCAATGTTCTGTGTGGAAAGAGTCCTACTTTTTCTTCTTCCTGTGATAACTATTCACTCTTCAACTTTGTCTCCAAAACACTGTTCCTCTAAGAGTTTGAATACCCTTCATAGTCTTCTGGCCCTTCTTCAGAGTATGATAGGATCCTTTGGTAACAGAATGACATTTTTCCGTGGCAGACTGATTATGACATTCCTACTGTTCGTGTGACCATGTGCCTGAAATCAGAATTAGAAGGGCTGTCACTGAAAAACCTCCTTTACTGTAAGACTTAACCTGAAACATGAGACCTGTTTGGATAGCAGTAATGAAACCTGTTTGGAATGTAATAGTGTGAAATGCAAATATGATATGCTAATCACCAGAAGAACTGTGAAGAGATGAGACAAGAGAAGGGAATTGCTTTCAGCTCAGGTTTGAAGTGCTGAGGGTGAATACCTAAATAAATATCAGGAAGTATACAGAGATGTTGGAAGGGTGTTCCAGAGAGCAGGAACGATATGATGAAAGGCAATTATGTAATTCTAATGAAGTTGTACTTCACAGGTATGAACCTGACACTCAGAAATGCAAAGAACTTAAACTCCTACCACATTATCACAAAAAATAAAACTGACTAAAATTTTACTAATTATTTTAGCATCTTCAAGTGTACTTATCAAGGTAAACAAATATCTCTTCTCATGTCTAAGGACAGAACTCAGGTTTTCATTTAAAGGACTGTGAAAAAATTTCTTCTATGCACCGCTGTAACTACCTGTAACTACCACTTTTCCCCTGCAACTTTCACTGAAGCATGTAGTAATGTCTGTCACCAGAGAAATGCTACTGAACTTATTCGTTCAGGCAGTTCTTCCATTCCTAGAAAGAAGAGGAAAAAAGAAAGGCAGCAGAGATTTAAATGTTGGAACAAATCAATGCAGACTTTTAAAAGCAAGTGTATTGGGGTTTTTAGCTGAGTCCAGACATGCTGAGAACTAGTAGAGGTATGTGAAGGCACAGGTTATTTGACCAGGTTGCCTTGTACCTGTGAAAATATATGTAGCAGCCTTCTGCATCAGTGGAAATCAGAGCAGTGGGACCTAGCAATACCAAAAATATGTAGCACTGTAGAAATGAGTGCTAGACAGTCTGAAGGCTTGTGTAAGAAGATGAATGAGGACACGGACACTTTTGGGTAGTGCCAGAAACTTTAAGAGGACCTGACAGAAGATTTTCACATGAAATGGTGTGAGAAGGGGAAAGGAATTAAATACCAAGTATGATTATGAGATTGTGAAGGGAAATGATGAATTGGTTGAAGATGTTTGCTTTTCGAAAGGGAGCCAAAAGAGTACAGTAGACTTAGTTGGCAAAATCAGGGACAAAGGCAAGGCATTTTCTAGTTCAAAACTATAAAGAAATAAGAAGAGACCTGTCAAAAGCTACATTCTGTTGTGTTTTGCCAGGCTAAAACCAGCAGGTACAGCAAGTGCAGTGAGTATTCATTGTCCTCTGAATGAAATATGTTGTTTTTCAAAGTCCTTAGCTTATTTATGATCTAATTGCCAACCATGAGCACTCATCAAAGTTGCCAAAGAATTCAACTTTTTTGTTTTCTGTTCAGATAGGAACAACAACAAAAATACCCTTTTAAGTTTTAATTTTTCCCTTAGCGACATTAATGACATTGTCAATTTAGCCATCTTTAATAGATTTGCCCAGCTATGACTGGGAATTAATAATAGTTTATATGGTCACTCCACAAAAAGGAACTGTTCCAGTTTCTCTCTTTACTATGCCCAATCTCTGCAGCATGAGCAGAGAACGAAAGTGCTTGTTTTCAAAATTCAGGTTTCACTTACTGTTCACTTGAAGTCAAAAATCTTTTGAGCAAGTATAAGCACACAATACAAAGTAAAACATGACACCTTGTGTCATAAAGGCTATTTTCCTTTTCATTAAGCATGAATGTAATGTATATACAAAAACTAATAATAGGAGACTGAAGGGAAGTTAAAATAACTGACTAATTTGCCCTTTTAAAGCACTCTTCATCCATAGGGAGCAAAAGTACAAGATTATGACAGAAGACAATCCAAGATACTTTTAAAGAATTTTTGGGTATTTAGACAAAGGGCCAGAACTAAATTGAAATCTGTGGGAAAATGTAGGACATTTTCAAAATAAGGATAAGATAATAAACACATCAAGAAGGGAATTTCCATGCTGCATTCAGACTGATTTTTCTAGAAGATGATGTTTGGGAAGCTGGAACAAAGCTATGAACAAAGATAGGGTCTTTATGTCATATGCTTGGAATATGAGGAAAATAGGATACCTGAAGAGGTAACAAAAGTGAAATAACCATGAGAGACTGTAGAGACATGTTAGCAAACATTAGAGGCCTAGCTGAGGTTGTTCAAACTATATAATTTCAGAAGATTGTGGGGCAAGATGGAAGGGGAAGAAAACACATAAATAGCTAGATTTAACACACAGGTCTTGGCAGGATTTGGTTTGAATCCTGGTGGAGTGATGACCCACGAGCCAGGTGTCTGAATTCCTCTTGTACTCCGTGGGTATCTAGTCAGTACTGCTAAATGAATGTCTCCTCAGAATCAGAAAATGGCTAAGCTTGGAATATAAGTCTGGAGAACATGTTCTCCAACCTGTCTGCCCATCAGGGTCACCTCAAGCAAATTGCCCCTGGCCACACCCAGAACACCTTTGAATATTGCCAAGGTTGGAGACTCAACAACCCCTTTGGATGAAGGTGAGGCTTAGCTGCCTGCATATCCCTGTATCCTCTTTCCTTCCCTTGTTGAGGAGAGGAGTGACATTTGTTTTCCAGTGGTACTCAGGCACCCCTCACAGTCACAAAGATGATTCTAAAGTTATCAAGAGTGCTCTCAAAATGACATCAGCCCAAAGAATGCATCCCATCAGGGTCCATGGAATGGAGTAGTTTGCCTAAATGCTCAGTCACCTGATCTGGCATGAGGAAGATACTCCCGGCTGCAGACTTCCCCAAGGTCTGCACAACCTGGTGTACCTAAAGGCAGGACTTGCCGGTAAAGACTGATCACCAGGACCCCTACACCACCCAGCAGCTGGCCCACATTTTCCCTCTTTCTTCAACTAGCTCTGTACTTAGAAAAACACTTCTTGCTTTTGATGTACGGAGCCAGATGTGATTCCAGGTGGGCTCTGGCTTTCTTAGCCATGTGTCTACATGTTTGGGCAGTGCCTCTATGTTCCTCTCAGGCTACCTGTCCATGCTTCCACCCTCCATGTACTTCCTTTTTGTGTCTGACTTTAGGTAGGAGCTCCTTGTTCAAACATGCAGGCCTGTTGGCATTTTTTGCCTGAATTTGTGCTTGTTGGGGTGGACTGCTTTTGCACCTGCCAGAGGGAATCCTTGCACATGAACTAGCTTTTTTGAGTCACTCTTCACTCCAAGGCATTATCCCACAGGACTCCTCCAGGCAGAGCCACAAAGGGGCCACATTGGCTCTCCCGAAGTATCTTCGTAGGATGTAGTATGGACTGAATGTCACATGCCAGAAATGCTCATGGTCTTCTGAGAATGGCACCTGGCTGTGCTCTGCATAAGTGAGGATTGCCATGTATTGTTACGTGAGTCTGCACTTCCTTCACATTCCTTACCTACCTAGTCTGTTGATTGAGATAGATTTTCAGTCTTGTAGGCAACGTGTCTACTGCCAGGAAAAAATGTGTCCTGCAACTGACAACCCACAAAACATAGAATCTGGGAGTTGTATTTAACTAGTGTTTGGACTTTGTTACAGTTTTAACTAGGTTTATGTGGGCAAGAATTTTCCATACATTTGCTATTATTTAAATTACATACAATGAGAACTGCCTTTTCAGTCTTAATTAAAGATGTGATCTCATAGCATGGTTTTTTGCTCTGCGTGAATAGAATAGAATAGAATAGAATAGAATAGAATAGAATAGAATAGAATAGAATAGAATAGTTGGAAATGAACCTACAATGATCATCTAGTCCAACTGCCCAGATTGGATTGAATCAGGCACTGGTTTCAGCTGTCATTAGACAGGACCTAACATGTCTGTGTCTATAAACCTCATGTAAAAAGAAAAGAATAAAACTGACAAATCAATATAGACCTGACACTTTTATGTAAGCAAAAGAAAGTTTTGAAAGCGAAGTTCTGTTATAAATGTTTTTAAAAGTTGGCATGCAGACAAGGGAAAATACTCACCCTGCACTTCTGTGGCAGCAGAGGTACGGAACTTTGAATGTCTATAGACGTAAAATGTTGATCTTAATATTTCCTAATGTATTAACACTAAGAGAATAACCTTATAATACATCTCTGACAGGAAATAGGTACTTACTCCACCAACATTTATGTTTGCCTTGCATGTCACCTTAGTATTGGTATTCATACCATATTAGTATGAAATTTTCAAGAGAGAAATCTTGTTATGTCTTTTGCTTCAAGTGATGGAAGAGCTCCCTGGCCAGAGTTTCATAATTTTTTAGGTCCTTAAAAGAGAGACAAACATGTATCAAAATCAAAACTCTGTCTCAGAGAGGCAGATTAAAGACAACCTGCCTTGCAGTGATTCATAGCTGGTTTTATTTCTGAGCGTTTTTAATGGCTTTTGCTCTAAGTAGTTTCTGCTTATTAGGTGCAAATCACTGAAATTACTATTTTTAATGCAACAGACTGCAGTATCCTGGTTGCCTCCCCCCCGCCACCATCTCATTACCCTAAGTGATGGATATCTGGATAATAGAAAAATTCTAGAATGCTTTGGCACGTGGTCAAGAGATACACTTGAGTGATGTTTTTGTTATTTCTTTGTTGATTAATTAAATCCAGGTAGGGGAAAAATTGGACATTGGGAAGAAATGAGAAGCAAGAGAAGAATAACTGTTAGAGATGGGAAGGAAAGGGAATTGAGGGGAGCTTTAACTCTGATCATTCTGTAAAATCTTAGAAGGAAGTGGACTGTTCCCTGGCAATGTAGCTCTGCATTTAGGTTTGCACATTTTCTCTGTGTTTGCTTTGTGCCTCAGTGGAAGAGAGTTAAACTTTTTGAAACATTAAATGTAGCAGAATCTGTCTTGGTCAGTTATTAACTGACCAGTTACCTCCTGATATTTTAATACAGTGTTATTCATTTGCATCTTAAATGCTACGTGTAGTCTTGGTTAATTGTTGCTCTCTTCCATTCTTGTCACAACATTCTCATTGGCAGGTGAAGTAGTTGTGTAATCTTGTTTGAAGGACGAGCAATGGGAAAAAATAAAAGGAGCAACAAGGAGAGGAAGTATTTTATTGCTTAGACTCTTATTTTGTTTCATTTACATTTTTAAATTAGTTCCCACTTGCTTGAGCTGTTTAAAGCCCATCTGAAATATGTTTTTCAGAATAATTTTATCTTGTTATTAAAAACAATCCTTTTATCTTTTTCACTATTAATGAGGGAAGAAAATGCTATTCTGCAGGTTTTGATCATTTGCCAAATGTCTCTGCTTCATTCTTCACATCAAGAAAGTTTATGTCTATTTTCTAAAACCGGTGGGGTTTGGTGGCAGCTTTTCATTGGTGTGCTTTTTCTGGAAAATTTAAATTTTGCTGAAAATGTTGCATCCATTAGGAAAATGAGGATACCCTAGCTGCTTATCTGTAGGTTTCTTGACAACATCACATTTTCTTTGCAGAGAGAAAGCAAAACTTGAGAAGAGCTTTGTGGAAAGACAACTGGATCCTCTTAAAATTGTCGTGAACTTTTTGCTTGGATGTCTCTTCTCAACATGAAACTCATACACTCTTAGCTTTTGCATGGACCTGGAGAGTGTGTATGTGTGTGCAGATGGGTTCATGAATTGTTCTGGTAGAAGTGGATTTCCATTCTCTAGAATGTTTCATATACAAGGCCTTCGTTACTCTGATAGCCTATACTTGATTTTTTTCCCCCAAGGAAAAGAATTACAGTCAGGGGAGGAGCAGAGGAGAAGTAGAGTGCTCTGCTTTTGTTTCGGCCACTGTAGTATTCTTTGTCCAAGAGTCATCTTAAGGCAGTTGCATGGAGCACCTTCTCATCTTGCACATAAAAATTGCACATTTGAAGATCGGAATTATATTCCAGCTATAATATAGATAATTTCTTAACTCCTGTGCATAATCAGTTGGATGTGGATTTCTTAATTTTCTTTCAGTCTCAGCTGTCAATGACTGTATCTCCTAGCAGAGTAGTATTGTGCCTGGATTTCTTCTGGTTATTTTATGGAGTATTTCGTGATGCAAATTAAGGAAAATTAAAGGAAGAGCTGGCCTAACTTATTAACTCATCCTAAGGAATCTTCAATTACAGTTCATTTTTAAGCTTATCCCATTGCAATCTCTCCTTTTTGTCTTTTATTCCAGTCCCCTCTGCTGTGCCTATGATGCATCAGGTGAGTCGTACTACCAACAGCATCACACTGTCGTGGCCTCAGCCAGACCAGCCCAATGGGGTCATCCTGGATTACCAGCTACGCTACTTTGACAAGGTGAGCAAAAAGGGATACTGGGCACTTTCTCTCTGGGTGGTGCACCCCTGTATCCAAATGAAGAGGTTGGGAAAAAAATGCTTCAGTTATGTGGAAGGAACAAACTTTAGCAAAAGCAGAAGTTTGTGATGTACATGTCATCTGGCATCAGTCCATCTGCATTTCTCAACTTGGAAACATCTAGCGATAAGGCAGGTTTTAAGAAAAGAGAAGACAATTGTTTAAGCTTAAAGGCTGCAGCTAACAATAAGTTTAGTATCAGCTGACATTGGTAACAATGGAAGGAGCTGAAGTTTCTAAATATGTTTACTGGAATTGGATTCACAGCAAGTCTGTCATTCATTTATGAGAAGTCTCATGTCCCATTTATGGGTGGACAGACATCTCTAAGAAATTTTACAAGAAGAAATGCCCTCTTTCATTTGCTAAGTGGCAAATACCTCTTTGTGTGCTGGAATTACAGGGGGGCAAATACAAATTTGTCCTACATTCACATGTTTTGTGACTCCTAATCCATCTGACTTCAGGGGAAGAGATGTGTGGGGCTGTTCAGATGAACTCCCATTCCGTATTACTGATCTTCCACAGAAATATTTCTGCAGGATTTTGCAGGGCTACTGTTTTTTAGTAGCAAAAAGGACTGCTATTTGTGATAACGTGTATAGCAGCTTCCTGGATACAGCTTTACATGTGTTCTTGCTTGGAATTCTCCTAGGAGAGTACACAAGTTTGGAGTTTACAGAAAGCGAACCACAGGACAAAGTTTTGTCTTTCATTTTTGTTTCGATTGAGAGTCTTCAGCAGAGCTTTGTGGGAAGCCCAGGTCTGGGGGAATGAACAGCAGCAGTGAGGAATGAGTTGTGTGAGAGGAAGTAGGGTCTGGAATAGCAGCTGTTGGGAGGCTCTGTAAAGGTTCAAAGAATATTGTGTTGACATGGAAACTGTCATGCCTTGATGAGGAGAGTGAGCAGTGTAGGCAGAAGTTTCACGTTCCTTTTTGGTCATTGACATTCACAGGCAGAAGATGAGGATAATTCATTGACCTTAACTAGTGAGACCAACATGGCCACAGTATCAAGTCTGAGCCCAGGCAAGATCTATGCCTTCCAAGTGCGTGCTAGGACAGCAGTTGGCTACGGCCCTTACAGTGGGAAGATGTATTTCCAGACTTTAACAGGAGGTAAGTGCTGCCATTTTATGCTGAGGTCTGCACATAATCCCCTTCCCCTTGCCTGTGTCCCTCAGTCTATTGGCTTATCCTCTGGAGGACTGCTACCAGACACTCCTACTCAACTTGTATTTCTGTTTATAATAATTTACATATGCAGATTTGTTCACTCAGAGAAGCTTCATGCTGTCAGAGGGTATTGTTTGTGCTGCTGCCATACTCCCCAGCCCTGGTCCTTGTTGCCTCTGTGCCTCTGACAAGCAGGTGCAGTGTGCCAGTAAGAATCTCTAGGGAGATGTTGCAGTACATAGCATTATGTACTGCTGTAGTTTGGTCCCTAGCTGTCATGGGATAGCTTACAGCTGAAAGCTCTGTGAATGTCTGAAAGACAGGTGGGACACAGGACACAAAGGTAGATGGGACACAGGCATATGTGCAGCAGCTTGCTTTCTAGCGGGATCACCATCCTTTTGGTATGGATCAAAGGTACTGGCAAGCTACATTGGTAGGGGACAGTGGGATACAGCCCAGGTGTAGAGCTAGCCTGTGCTCAAGTGGTTTGTCAGCTGTCAGTGGACATGGGGAAGAGAAAGTGAATTCAGACAGAGCACTGGGTTTTCAGAGTCAGGAAAGAAGGCACTGGAGGAGCACAGTGACTGGGGAGCAAAGGGCTGGTAGGGCTGAAATTACGGGAGAGATCTCGATGAGCAGAAGGGAAACTCTGTTCCTGTCCTCTGCATCCACGTGTATGTGTGTGTGTCTTCCTTGCCAGGGGAGCGCTCGGAGATGGTGCAGGACCGGCTGCTGCTGATTGTGGGCTCAGCGCTCGGGGGTCTGGCCTTCTTGGTAATTGCTGCCATTGCCATCCTTGCCATCATCTTCAAGAGGTGAATTCCTTGACCTGCTCATGTGCACTTCAGACAGTGGAACTTCCTTACCCCGCAACATAACTCTGTCCCAAGAGAAACAGCCTGATCTTTATTTATCCAGATGTACTTGAGATGCCATTCTCTAATTAAGGAAAGATCCTGCCCCATTACTCCTATCTGAGGAGCCTCTCCTTTGGTAAACCACTCACGTACTTAGTTGATATTTGGCTAGTTAGCAATATGAACACAAGGAAAGCATTTCAAAGCCAGTACTCAAAAGGTATTTAAATGCATCGCTGTGGAGGAGGGACTGTAAATTGCATTTTAGGCAAGCAAGTGGAGAATGAAACAATGTAGTGGAGAAGGACTGGTAGAATAAGTATGCATATCCAGTTATTTAGAAGGTGATAAATACCCTTTCACCAAGGACCAAGAGACAAGGGCTCATTTGCTGAAGAATAAAATCTATACAGCCCCAATGGTTCCATGGAGCACTAGCTCATAAAATACAGGTTAAAGAAAGCAAATACCACTTTCCATTTTGGAACGAATAAAGGGCATATAAAAGATTGTAGAGATAATATGTTACAGAAAAAAAAAAAAGAAAAGACAGAAATTTTGAAGAGAAAAAAGTAAGGGTTGCTATTTTTGTAGAGGTACAAAAGTAAACAATGGGGGTTTTGTTATTTGAAGAAAAGAAACAGTCATTACCCGCTCCTTGAATTTACTGAAGTTTGAACTTAATCCCCTAGATTGTCAGTAATGGATTTCTGCGTCTTTGCTTTACTGTGCCTCTGCACAAGAGGGACTTTTTAGTTTTTTCTGCTGACCTAAAAAAAAAAAGTATAAACTACTTAACTTTAGAAAGTGACATCTAGTTTTAATGTTTTCTTTTTTGTTCTCTTCCCTTTTCTACATTTGTTTTCTCGTCTTTTGTACATTCTATTTTAATATTTTTCTTCCTGGAAAGAAAATAATTATCAAATAATGTTATATTTGAAATGTTGCCTCCTTTTGTTGCTTTGAACTGTTAAAAATACAATTTCTTGTTACAGCTGGAAATGTGATATTATGTGCACAACTCAATAAAGCATATATTTTTCTAAAAAAAATAAACCAAACCCAGAATAAGTTAATATTACCAAAACTGTGTTGGGGAAAGGTATTAATGCTATCTGTAAATATACATATGAGGAAATATCATAAAAAAATACATTCATTTATACTTAAAGAATTATGTACAGTTAATAGACAGCTTTTCACAAAAAGTGGAGATACCAAATTTCTATTTTAAATTTGTCCTTGATAAGAAAAGTAAGTTGTAAAATGCAGAAAATGAGGAACACCAGATGAAATCAGTAGTTCCTTAAAAGGTTGAACATATGTAGAGTCAAATGCTATGACTTTAACTTGTTTTTATAAATTGTTGGTACACATTTTTGAGGCAATATGCACTGTGAAACATCTATTTTAGCTAATTGTTTTGTTTGCTTTATATATGGAAAACAATTAATTTGTTAGATAAACTATAAAAAACATTATTGTAGACCTGTCTTTCAGATTCAGGAACAGAGTTAGAGCTCTTAGGCATAGGCCCCCAGCAAAGCTGATTTCTTTGCACAAGAGAAAAAATTCTGACGTTAGAACTGTCTGTGGATTTGAAAGCAGAATTTAAAGAGATAAGTCTGACAAGTAAGAATTATACAGTTAGCTGTTAGAATGTCAGAATTACTTACATTCATAAAGAAAAGTAACATAATGTTTCACGGTACTTTGCCTTCAAATGCTAATTGAATCAGCAGCTAAAAGGTCTCATGCTGAAACAGCTAAACATGAGTTGACACAAATGCATGCAGACAGCAGGGATACTGCAAGATACTGTAGGGTTTGATTTACAGTCTGGTCTAATTAATAGGGTGATTGGAAATTAGCATGAAACGTACTTTTTTTTTTTTTAATGAACACTGCTTGGAAGAAAGGAAGTAGCTTGAAAATGGCAAATAGATTTAGTGCAAACAAAGAATAGAATGAAACTTCTAAAATAATTAGGTTGTGTGGGAAATAAATTATTGAATCATACACATACAGAAGGAGAATGAAATCTGAGAAATGCCTGTGCTGAGAAGGATCTGTGCTTACTGGAAATGAGATGCACATATGCAATAAACCTTACAATAATAAAGATCATTCCTGTTTTGACCTGCACATGCAAAAGTCACATCAAGGAACAGATTTCCATCTGTTTGGGTCTGTGTTGTTTGGTTTGGGTACCCTACTTACGAATATAATGGCCAAAGTAAATGCTGTTAAAGAAAGCCAGGAGGAAAAATAATTGGGGGAGATCTATACATATTAATCATTAGAGTAAATGGCTCTTAGAATGTTTTTGAAGAACTTAAAGACATCACAGAAGAAGGCATACATTATAATTGAGAAGAATAATTTGTTGTAATTAAATTAAAATGCAAATTTAGCCTGAATAGCAATAAAACTTCCAAGGCAGTAATGTTAAACTGTAATATTCTTTTTCAGGATAGTGTTGAAAGCCCTATCATTTGTCATTTCTAAAGTGGGAGTGCCAACAGTGGTATAAAAACCACCACATAGAAAACAAGCATGCACTGATTACCCGGAGATGGGCAGGATCTTAACATCCATCTTCTACCCCTAATTTCAAGGATTCTCTGAGCCTTGCCCTGAGAAGCCTACCCAAGCATCTGATGAGAGACTCTTGTGTGTGTTTTGACTTTCCTTTCCTTTGTGTCCTGCAGTAAAAGACGAGAGACCCCATACACAGACCGCCTGCAGCAGTATATCGGTGCACGAGGTAAGTGTGTGTGAGCAACAGATGGCAAGGGCCTGTCTCTTTGCAGGACTCATTAACACCTGTGTGTCTCAGGGTTTGATCCTGGTGATGTTTTGGGCTGTTTCCCTCACTGCAGGACTCGGAGTGAAGTATTACATTGATCCTTCAACCTATGAAGATCCCAATGAAGCCATTCGAGAATTTGCCAAGGAGATTGATGTGTCCCTCATCAAGATTGAGGAGGTCATTGGATCAGGTAGTGTGAGAATCTGCAGATTATTTAAAGTGCTTTTTGTTCACCTTGAGACCTGGCACACTACTGGCCTGAAGTGGACCAATGGATGCACAGTATGTCGAGTGTCCCGGGATATCTAAACCTTCATTTTTACCAAAATTCATTTTAACCTACTAACCCTTAGATGCTGGCTCTAAGCCACATTTAAAACACATTTTGAGGACTCAAAACTCCTCATTTGAACCCCAAAGACGTAGTCTCCAACCTTCACCAAAAACTGCCGTAATCTAGATGGTCCCATAATCTTATTTCCATGCATTGCCCAAAGTTGTCCTCAGTAGAATGCTTTAGTACATCTGACTAAAATCCATTGCTGTGTTTCCTTACTTGAGGTGTGTTTCTTCCCTCCCTGACAGGAGAGTTCGGAGAGGTGTGCTTTGGGCGCCTGAAACACCCAGGGAAGCGTGAATACATGGTAGCTATTAAGACCTTGAAGTCAGGTTACACAGAGGAGCAGCGGCGGGAGTTCCTGAGTGAGGCCAGCATCATGGGGCAATTTGAGCATCCCAATGTCATCCACCTGGAGGGGGTGGTCACCAAGAGCCGACCAGTCATGATTGTCACAGAGTTCATGGAGAATGGATCGCTGGATTCCTTCCTCAGGGTACCACAGACTCTCCCACAACCATTAACCTCTTCATCTCACTATGTGCCAGTCTCAGACCTGATAATTTTGCCTGTCCTTTATCTTCAGTCCTGTCTCCCTAAGTCCTCAGTTGCCCTCTTCAAATGCAATAGAAATTATTCTAAATAGCCACATTAGGTGTTTTCAGGACAACATGGTGAAATACTCCAAGGGCTTGACAACCATATAAGATCTCAGTATTTTAGACTTCTTTAACTCCTGTAATTAATGTAAACAGTACCAAATCTTTGTACACACCCTTTCAGTTGCTTATGTGCGTGTTCCAAATTTTTCCTTTCTAATAATCTTTTTGGGACTTTATTCCACAGAATATTTTCTAGTTTTAACATTGTAATGAAATAATGGAACTTGCAGTTATTTTTGGTTTTAGAGTTTTCCAGTAATGAAACAGAAATATGGACAATCTATGTAGTATAGCTGCTTCACTTCTTTTTTACTGATTCATGTGCTCATTCAGCACATGAATGCTGAATGGGCATCAGTACAAATACTTTGGCACATACAATTTGAGGAGCACATTGAGTAGAGCTGCACAGAAGCTATTGTAAAGATCTTAGTACAGGCAGATTTGTCTGCTCACATTCATTTAGCCATCTTAGTGATGTTAGGTGTAGGATGCTAAAGGGGGATGTAGCCACAAGAGGAGGTTTGCCTTCAGGACAAGTTCACCAATGCCTGATTTATTTGAGGTTCATTGTTTTAAGCCCACCCTCCTTTGTTATTTGTTGTCTTTGAACCTTCAGATTTGGGCTGAAATTAAGATGTGCATTCTCTAATTTCATAAATCCATGTTGTTACCTTGCTCTTTGTTATTCTCCCCTGTTGACTTCATGTTCTGTGGGCATGAGAGCCTGTGTTTGCCTCCTCCCTTGCAGCAGAAGGAAGGGCAGTTCAGTGTGCTGCAGCTGGTGGGAATGCTGCGGGGGATTGCAGCCGGCATGCGCTACCTGTCAGACATGAACTACGTGCACCGTGACCTGGCAGCACGAAACATCTTGGTCAACAGTAACCTGGTGTGCAAGGTGTCAGACTTCGGGTTGTCCCGCTTCCTGGAGGATGATGCTTCCAATCCCACCTACACTGGGGGTCTGGTGAGTCATTGCTGTGGTGGGAGTTACTGTAGTCCTTGGTTTGGTGTACCCTCTTTAGTCCATCTTAAGACCATAGAGAAGCATGGAGTAGGGCCTTCTGTCTTGTGGGCTATTTGTTCCAAAGCAATAAAAATGAAAAATAACTGAGTATCTGAGCCACTCAGCCATGTGAAGTCTCAGTGCTGTTCTTTGTGGCATGATGGTGAATAGGTCAAACCTCAAAGCCTGATGTAGCTATTATCTTCCCCCTTTCATTAGCTTTTTATAGGAAGGATAAAGGACTGAAGGAGAGATTACAATCGTGTACTACCACTCTTTGAAGAAAGAGTTGGGTTTTTTCCTACAGAAAAGATAAATGACCTAAGTATATTTATGGGCTTAAAACCAACCATCAAATGAGCTTATTGCCTATGAAGTTTTGACACCTGTCACACATACTACAAAAAGGGTGGGAGTATAACAGGTGGATTGAAAAAGAAGGGATGAAGAATTCAGTCACTGAAAAGTGGAACAATCTTTAGATCTGTGCATTTTGAAGAACCAGCACCTGAATGGCATTTCATCTTGCAGGTCATACCTGCAGTTAGAGAGGTCAGGATGGAAAGGGAAATGAGTTAATGCTAGGTACTCTAGCTACTCTGTCCCTAAGTGCTGCAGTTTGGCATTATTTAAATGGTTTTAGATTTCCAAATGATTGTGACTCAGGAGGATTTTGCTATATGCCACTTTCAAATGCTGTAAAGCTGTGAAAGTATAAAATCATGGGATGTGTAGCATCAAGGAGGCATGATTCTCTCTTTTCATTTATACTTGTCAGCAAAACAAGGTGGAAGCCTTGAACATAGTATGAATTTAAACCATCAGTGTTTTCAAGACAGAGTCAACGGGACTGTCACTCTGTGCTCCAGGCTGTGTTGTGCTGCTAACATCTGATTGTTTTAGTGGTGTTGTTTTCACAAGCAGTCCTTATCTCACTACATTCTGGTTGCTTTCTATCTGCTTGCCAGGGCTGCAAAATCCCCATCCGCTGGACTGCCCCTGAAGCCATCCAGTACCGCAAGTTCACCTCCTCCAGTGATGTCTGGAGCTATGGCATTGTCATGTGGGAGGTTATGTCCTACGGTGAGAGGCCTTACTGGGACATGTCCAATCAGGATGTAAGTTTTGGAAGTGGTGAGGATGTACTTCTGCCTCTCTGTCCTGTATCAATTCAAGCAGAAGAAAGCCATACACACCGAGTGATTGAAGCTCTTTTGTCTTTTATTTCCCAGTTGTGATAAAGCTTTGTTCTTCTTTTCCTGCAGGTGATTAATGCCGTTGACCAGGACTATCGCCTGCCACCACCCCCAGACTGCCCAACTGTTTTGCACCTGCTGATGCTTGACTGCTGGCAGAAGGAGAGGGTCCAGAGACCCAAATTTGAGCAAATAGTCAGTGCCCTGGATAAAATGATTCGCAAGCCATCAGCCCTTAAAGCCATTGGCACTGGGACCAGCAGGTGAGAGGGGGATTTAATGCAAAATAATAGGACTTGTGTCTCAGTAGGCATCATGAGGAAAGGGAAGCCAAAAATCAGGCTATATAGTCTTTTTCCTAACCCTGTCATTGGAGACTGGGAGCAAACAGGAAGTGGAAAAAAAGAGAGGAAGCAGCTTGGAAGAACTGTATATCCTGATTCAGTTAATGGGGAGCTCTGAGTGCTGAATGTGGCAAGAGATAAATCTTGATGAGTTGCACTGAGGATGAATAACTGAGGGATTATAGGGAATGAAAGGAGGGACGCATCTGGGTGCAGCAGCACGAGATATTCTGTGATCACACCATACTGTGTGACCACAAGAGATGATGAAGAAAAAGAAGACCTTAGTTTATGGAGGGAAGGAAGTCTCTACATAGGAATAATTAGAACTGCAGCTTACATCCCATATTTTCCCAACTGCATTTTGCAGTCTGATGGAACAGGAGGCAGGAGGTCAGCAAAGAAGAACTCTCTGGAGGGATAAACGGTGCCAAGGTTAGTTGGCTGCTGGGCTGATGACGAAATTACATCCTGCTGGCCTGGAGGGTTTTTTCCCTGTGGTTATAAATCTTGTCTCAGTGGAATGTACTCCACAGATGGGGAAGGGGGAGAGTATCTAGTGATGCCCAGTTTACTAAAAGCAGTACATAAAGAGTGCTAAAGCTCTGAGACGGGTTCAGATGATGAAGAAAAAAGCAAATACCGTATGTAAACCGTCATCTCTTCAGCATTTTAGTGCAGTTCTTTTGTCTGGTGGGTATTGGAGATGAAACAACGCATTCATTGTCTCATAGGTCACTATCTGACTGAGAGAGAACATTTAGGAGAGGAACACCTAGTCACAGAGGTAAAAAGGTGTATAAGGTCTCATTCAGAAACCTCCTCACTGCAGTTCATTGCCCAGCTAATAGGTCTAGACCAAGAAAATGTGGAAGGATCTTGGGCAACAAGAAGAGAATGTGTCTGAGAGAGTATGGGCAATGGGAAGGGAGAATCAATTCCTTGGGTTGGTTGATTGTTTTCAGGCAGAAAAAGGGATACTGGAAGTCTAGAAACAGCACATCATTGTGGGACTTCAGGAGCCAGGGCATGAAGAACAAATGTCATTGTTCTTCATTCTATCCTCTTTGGAGACTGCATTCTCCTCCTCTCATAATTCTTATTTTACTAGTGTGCTCAGTTCGTGTCGATAGCTTGGGTTTTAGAACCTGCCTCTTTTGCAGACCATCTCAGCCTCTCCTGAGCAACTGTCCTCCAGATTTCCCTTCCCTTAGTAATGCCCACGAGTGGTTGGATGCTATCAAGATGGGTCGCTACAAGGAGAATTTTGACCAGGCTGGTCTGGCTACTTTTGATGTCATATCACGCATGACTCTCGAGTAAGTAACGGAGCAAAGAGCAGCAGATACCAGACACTGAGTTTTCCATGCAGAAAGTGAAAGCAGTCTGAGAAATTTGCCATATGAAAGTACATACACATGAAAAAGGAGAGGGAAGCCAAAGCAAAGTAGCTACTGTTCCTTGCATATTACTAGGGCCTCTGGACAGCATCCATGCTCTGATACACTTGTAATCTGTACCTATAAACCTGATCCTGTGTGCCTCAGAAAATGTATTGTCAGTGTTGCAGAGAGTCTGTTATATCAGAGTGTTCATGACAGCTAGCACTGATAATAAAAACCAGTTTTAAGCACATGTGTAGAACCAGCCACACCATATACTGGGTTGAAGTGTTATGTAGAAGACAGGATGCAGGAAAAGAAACATTCTTGGAATCATAGAATGGTTTGGGTTAGAAGGGACTTTTAAAGATCATCCAGTCCAACACCGTGCCATAAGCAGGGACACGTTTAACTAAATGATGTTGCTCACAGCACTGTCCAACCTGACCTTGAATGTTTACAGGGATGGGACACCCACAGCATCTCCTGGCAACCTGTTTCTGTTCACCACCCTTCCGTATTTCCAGTCTAAACCCACCCTCTTTCTGTTTCAAACCACTGCCCCTTGCCCTGTCACAACAGAGCCTGGTAAAAAGTAATTCTCCATCTTTCTTTTAAGCCCACTTTATACATTGAGAAAGTTCCTTCTGAAGCCTTCTCTTCTGGCTGAATAACTCTAACTCTCTTTTTTTCTGTGGAAGATCAGCCCTCTGATCCTTTTTGTGGCCCAGTTTCACTGCTTCTTTTTGTACTTACCAAGTTCTGCCAACACCCCCTCCATCCACACACATTTGTCAAGCAAAAGCAGAAGTCTCGTCAGCTGTTTCTCAGACACAGATAGGCACACACATACATATCCATATACGTTTATTTGCATCTATAGCAACATGGATTGAGACTGTTCAAAACAAGCAGTTCATTTTTAACAACTTCTGTGTCCTCTGTTCCTTGGCAGAGATATCCAGCGTATTGGAATCACCCTTATTGGTCACCAGAAGAAGATTCTAAACAGCATCCAGCTCATGCGAGTCCATTTGAATCAACTTGAACCAGTTGAAGTGTGATGTTTACATCATCCACATTCCACTAGTCTCAAACTCTGGAAAAGTTCTGGGGGTATTCAGAGGGATTTTCAGTGTAAGAAAAAGATGTCAGTATGCTACTTGAAGACTTAATGCACCCAGAGAGTGCACACTACGTGTCCTGTTCCATGAACAAAAAACAGCCTTGCTGTGATTTGAAAGCAGAACTAAATGACTGGTGACAATTACATGTGGCTGATTTCATACATTGGGAATGGGTTTGGGGAGGGAAGGTTGTAATAACATGGGGTGGAGATGGAATAATGGCTTGAACAGATCACAAGCACCTGTTGCCTATTGTCTGCCAACAAAAGGTATCTGACAACTTTTCAAAGTCATCAGCAGGCTTTATTTATGGCTGAGAGCCCAGCAAAGCTGCAGAGACATAATAAAGGCAACAAAAAATTAGCTTTTTTTTCAGAAGAATGCCATTGTGGTGTGAAAGATTATTCTTCAGATGGAGATGAGCATCAGGCTATCACTTGGTGTGCCAGCTCAGTTCGGAACTGAAGTTCCAGCTAGTGCACAGCATGTGGTAAGCAAAAACAGATGTCATCTGGTACACAGGTTCAGAGTAAAGAATTGAAATTCAGTGCTGTTTCGTGTGCAGTTCTTGGGTCTGCTCCATGATGGGAATTGCTAATCCTTTGTGCTGACGTGAGGAACAGTCCATCTCTATTTATGGGACTGCAACTGAATAAACAACTATTCCTAGAATCCATCCTGCAAGACCTGCAAGTGAAGGGGGAAACAAATATGTTCTGGTTCTCACAAGCTTATTCTTGTGAGGAAAGGCATAACCTGTGATACACAGAAATCCTGAATACCCAGATCTTGGGTTTTGTTTTCTTCTGAGCCCCTTACAACGAAAAGCAGAATGAAAAAAATCTGAACCCTATGCTGCTGAAAAATACTTCCTCTTTTTCTCACCCTAGCCATTAGGCACAGTTTAAGTATTTTTTTTGAAGAAAATGCAGACATGTAGTAGTCAGCTTCAAACAGACAGTTGAAATGGGTGAGGTGAAACTATTTCACAAGTTTTTGTCAGGAGTGGTCAGGGAATGGCATCAGTCCCATAAGTCACTTCAGTCCTTTAAAAAGGGCTAACAATGTTCTTGGGTTCAACAGTGTTGATCCCAAAGTACATGAGAGTGACCAGAATGGTAGAGCTTATGTATCCCTTCAGGCAGACTGGTACCTGTTTATGGGAAAATCTGCTTCAAGAAGGAGCAGAGCTTTGGGGCTGTATTTCTCTATCTGTCACTGTGAAGTTGAACTTGAGAGGAAAACCCATAAATATACACTTGTCTACATCATCAACACAGAGGAAGGGAAATGGAAATGGCCCAGGTAAACGACACCCCAGTTATGATAACCTCTGTATGTCTAGAGAGGAAATAACCCCAACTGTTCTGATCTGTGCTCATCTGTGGGCTAGACATGAACCTCATGTATTTCTCCAGCTGTCAAGAACATCACAACTTCTTCACATACTACTCCTGTATGGATTTAAACATTCCCTCAGTCAACCTAACAATTGACGACCAAGAAGCCACATTTAAGAGTGATTGAATTAGTCCAATAATATGATGGGAGGTGCTTCAGAATATTTGCACTGGAATAGCCTGTGCAGTTCAGACTCTTTGTTGCAGCATTAGAGTAACATTATTTTATTTTTTTTAGCTGAAGAGAGAGAACAACAGCTCATTTTTCAAGATATAAAAAAGGCAATACAAAAACAATAAAAGCAAACATGAATAAAATATTCATGACAGTACAAAGAGAGTGTGAAGATTAAAAAAACCCCAAATCACATCCAACTAGAGTCCAATCTAGAAAATTTCAGTCTGTGCTTTTTAAGGGGTTTCTGGAAACTTGTAATACTCACACATCCAGTCCCATGTATGCTGACTGACTGTCAGCTCCACCCACGGCATCTGAGACAGAACAAGTGTTGTCCTCTTCAGAAAGCATATTGAGCACAAGACGTTGAGGGGAATCTGTGGTCTCTAGCACCTTCCATATATATTCACCAGAGGACAACAGTGCATGTATGCATCTTCATATATGAGTGTACTCTACAAGTTCTGTGTGCCATTTGGGGAAATTAGGCGGCCTTTCTTTTCCATACCTTGAGTGGTCAGGATTGCTGGAGAGATTAGCAATCTAGATACAATTTTATGGCCTCTTTTCAGCCTAGTAGAAACTTACCTGCAGAAGAAACATTTTCTTGCTCTCTTCATGCGATAGGAAATTAAATGGGAGCCTTGCCTGAATTCTGTTGTGTTAACAATGAGACTTAGAACTGCACAAGGAGCAGGCATGCCATCATATTTGAGTGCAAATGGATAACTCTTTTCTGTAAGAAGTGTCTCCATTCTCTTTATTCCCAGTGTGTTCCCAGTTTTCAGGTGGTTATTCTCTTACACAGTTTGGGATGCAAAGGTTCTCAAGTTGCAATGCAACTTGTGTCATTTGCCATCATGCCACTCCTTAACTGCAAGGATGAAGGAAGGGCAGTCATGGCAAAAACATTAGAAATACCCTGATCTTCCTTTTCTCAATCATCTGAAACCAGAAATTCTACGTTCTGTTTCCACAGTCATCTAGGATGTCCTGCAGTGTATGAGCAACCCTAACAGGTAGGCATGGAAATGAGGAGGGAAAGCAGTGGGCTCACCTAGGCACCTGGTATCTGCCCTTCACCAGAAGAATGAGAAACAGTGCTAAAAATGTCTCACAGGGCTTTGTCAGAGAATCAATGGGAGATGAACAAGTTATTGCCCACCTTCATATGATTTCTACAACAGGCAGTGTACAAGAGTAATGACTAAGCTAAATGCACAGGGATCAGTGGACAAACCTTCTTAAGGGTGTTAGGCATTTGTATGAAAGCTATGAAGAGTCATGCCTATAGCTAGAAAGAATATATCTCAAAGATTAATGTCTTTTGTGCTTGAACACCAACTTTTCACTGTCTGGAAACAGGAAGAAACTTCACCTTAAGGCAAGCTGTTTTGCAATTATTCTTGATGAGGTTCCTTGAACCTGTCTTTTTGGTGTCTGTTGCTGGACAGCCTCCCAGACAGGTAATTGGATCTGCACCAGGATGTCAGTGAATGTTCTATGCTGCCAGAGAGCACGTCGGGCAAGCAAGTTCCCACCTATGCTGCTTTGGCAGCCAAGTGAAATTCTCAGCCAGGAGCTACATGCCTGTGCACTCCTGCCTCACTAAGCCATGGCATGTTTCTGCCAGAAGCAGGCCCTGCTCACCAGAGTGTTCAAAGACAAGCACGTAAGCTAACATTTTTTCTTCCATGCCTGAAATTATTATAAGGAAAGGCTTAATGACAGTGTAACTTACACAGTGATTTCTGTGCTTTGCACCCAAGTAGCTTCAATGCATGTGCAGGTGAAATGGCTGAAGTCCCTGGTTTCTTGTTTGCTTGTTTGTTTTTTTTTTTAATTGAAGGGTGTAATCTTAGTCCATGCTTAAACAGCACTGTACTAGGCCTAATTGAGGGAGCACAAGCTGCTCGGTGGAGAGAAATGCTGAAAGAGTCTGTCTGTTTAGCACAAATGTATTCAGCACCTAGGGTTGTCTAGAAAGAAATAATCTGCTGTATAGCTAGTCCCAGACAATTCATATGTTATGAAGCTGAATGAAACCTCTGGGTGTGGTGGGAAATGATGAACACCACCAAAGAATTTGGCTTTACTAAACAAACGAGAGCTGTCCCTACCACTGGATCTTCCTTGGTCATGATTCCAGCCAACACATCTACCTGAGGGCAGTTCCAAGTGAAGGTAACCAGCTTGAGTCCATCCTGCTTTTGGCACATTTTCTCACCAGTTGGCTATGCAATTCTTCTTCATGAAGAATTCATGTCTTCTGCACCTCGAGATGCAGCTAGGCAGTAGATTTGGGTTCAGGACAAAATTGATAAATTCTCTTCCTGAAACCTGAAAGGTAATGCTAGAGGGGCAATGCAATCAGCTGATGATTGAAAGGGCTGTGCTGAGCTGATGAAAAGCCACTGTGTCTTCTAGATCTTGTGGAGCTGCAACTAGGACCTGTTCAAAGAGGAATCACTCCCCCTGGTGTGCTTAAGTGCAGAGCAGTGTCCCGGTGTGCTGTAGTATAGAACTGCCCTCAAAAAGCCTTGGAGCTTAGCTATTTCATTTCCCTTTCCCGGGTGATGAGAAAACTCTCTTTCTGAAATATTCTCAGTTGAAACATGCAGATTCATGAAAACATTCTGAGATTTCCTTCTGTTTTTTTCCATGGCCTCTTTTCCTCAAAGGGTAATGTGATCTTTTACTCAAGTGCTGCAAGAGCAAGTCAAAAGTATGAGTGCAATGGGTTGACATCTATGCCCCAAATAGTTAATACTTTGGCCTGTTACTTACATCTCTTACACAAGACCAAGCATGCTTAGCTGACGGCAATAAAGCTGTTTGCTTCTGAAAACTTACTGCTTTAAATTCAGGCCATGCTAAGTAAGGTTGGATTTTTTCCACTGTACAGTGACACTAGAAACTACACAGGCTGTTGGCTACAACTGGAATTTGAGTTATATTTCATCGCATTTTGGACACTTTCAGCCAAACCTACTAGTGCCTATGCATTTGGCAGCTGGAGCAGATTGATCATTTATAAGCATTTCTGTTGCTGAGATCAGACTGTTGTCCTCTTTGAACCCTACTAGCTCTGCAAGTAAACAGGAGATTAAAAATAAGAAAATGAGATTTATTCAAAGAAGTCATCTAGTTGGTCAGATATGAATGACAAGGCACTACCTGAAATAAGCTATTTAAAAATAGATCTATTCATGTTGTTCTGTTAAAAAAGACAGTAATTATACTGTGCCTTACTGTCTCTGCTATAAAGGTAGAAGATGGAACATTGATCTTTACCCTCCAGGACAGTACACTTCACCTGTTTTCCCACTGTTGAGTTTAACTTACATTTGACTGAAGAATTTTTGCTAGAAAGGCATCTAATCTTGGTTAATTCACGAATAATGCATCTACAAGATACTTTGGACTGGTTTTCCCATGGCTATGTGATAATTTTTAATTGCAGTTTGCCTAGTAAACTTTTTGTTTACTACCCAATTTGGATAAAGAGCTGCTTGTAAGATACTTCTGCATTTTCCACCATCCTTGGCTCACACACTTGCTTCTTTATATTCTAGAAAAAGGAAATATTTACATGTCTCCCTGTCACACGTCTTGTTTGGTCCTCCCATGCTTGTTATGGTTCTCTTCTTCATCTCATCTACCTTCCCTTCTAAGAGGAGAATATCAAGAACAGACAGAACCAGTCTGCTGCTCACTGCTTATTCACCCACAGATCACAGTGAGCCTTTCACAATTTAGTTCTTTGACTCAGTCAGGGCATTCTGATCCTTCTGACGTAAAAGTTTTTAGGAAACCCATTCTATGTAGATAGAAAGTGTAGTCTTTTTTTTTTTCCCCAGCTGTCAAGCATTACCCTTAGAGGAGAGTTTTCAAAAAAAATGGATCTTTGTATTGGCATTTTAGCATGCTAAGCAGTTTTTAATTAGTATTTCAATCTAACAGACCATAAAATT